TTTTCATTTCATGATGTCAATAAATAGTCATACAAAATGTACTGTTTTGTGTTAATGTTTGTGTGTCATTACTTGCAACAAATAAGCAACAATGAGCCATCCTACATCATTAAGTAGAACACTTTAAATAATTGTTGTATTTTTTTTAGTTATGAGCCATTATGGTCCTATCAAAAAGTTTTGATGAAACCTATGGAACTAAGAATCAAAGTGAAGATATTTACCAGTAAAAAGACATTTAGATAACAGTTAAAGAGTACCTGGTATTTATGAGTACCAATTACAGAAAATATTTTAAAGTTATAATTATAGGGGAAAATGCTGGTAAGTAAATATAAAGTAAGAGTAAATGTGTACCGGTACATGATTGGGGGGGGGGGGGGGGATATGGTTGTATTTGTATTTCACCCCACCCCTTTTTTGACAGTTACTATCTAAAACAAAACAATGAAAAATCTCATTCACTGAACAACCCGCATTGAATTGAACGATGAGAGTACCGGTATTTTCAAGGCCATGAGAAGAGTTTGGCCTACACAGAAAAATTTAGTCATGCACGTAATCAATGTTCATTCATTGTTTTAGGCATATGAACAATAACACCTTCGATAACATGCACCAAGCGCATCATCTCTAGGCTTTGTACTGGCCGATATAGTCCCAACTATAACCAAAACGACCCCCAAGCTGGTTCCTTAAAACAATCAAGACTAATCCCACATGAATTCACTGCTCTACTGAAAGACTTTTCAAAGAACAACTATGAACCAAACCATGCAACCACTCGAACATCCCCATCCGAGGCTGACACACGTATATAAACTTACTGGATTAGATAGATGCTATCTTACTAGATTTTTCTAAGGCTTTTGACAAAGTTCACCACCATAGTTTGCTTAAAAAATTAAAATATTTCGGCATTAACGGTCCACTGCATCAGTGGATTAAAGATTTTCTGATAGGGAGAGAACAAACTGTAATAATAAATGGCTCTAAATCAACACCAATAACAGTAAACTCAGGTGTACCTCAAGGAACAGTCTTGGGTCCACTACTATTTTTAATTTACATAAATGATTTACCAAATTGCATTAGTTCAGGAACAAAAGTCAGATTATTTGCAGACGATTGCATAATATATAGAACAATAAAAACAAAACAAGACACAGATATTTTACAAAGAGAATTAGATGAATTACAGAAATGGGAATCAAATTGGAGCATGTCTTTCCACCCAGAAAAATGTCAGTTGTTAAGAGTTTCAAAAAAACTAAAACAAATTAATTCCACTTATCTTATTCATGGCAAACCAGTAACACAGACTAAAAACTCAAAATACCTAGGTGTTATAATAAATGAAAAACTGTCATGGAATCCACATATTGATGAAACTATAAAAAAATCCAACAAAGCATTAGGGTTTATTAAAAGAAATTTCCATAAATCAAATAAGAACATAAAACTAAAATGTTATTTAACCTTGGTTAGGCCAATAATAGAATATGCATCCACCGTGTGGGACCCCTCAACTCAAGAAAACATTAAGAAACTGGAACAAACACAAAATAGAGCAGTGAGATTCATAACAAACGAATATTCACATTTGACTAGGATAACACCATTAGTAATATCACTAAATTTAGAAAGCCTTCAGGACAGAAGACTCAAAAGTAAAGTAGCAATTATACATAAAACACTGAACCATAATCTTCAAATACAAAAACAAATTTTAATAAAATACTCTGAAAGACACAAAAATAAAGGCACATTCCTCGTCCCATATGCTAGGACAAATTTGTACAAATACTCCTTCTTCCCTAGTGCTATTAGAGCATGGAATGGGTTGCCTGAGCTAGCCAGAAAAACCAGTGACTTGGCAGAATTTAAGTCATTGGTTAATATGCATGACTAAATGCATGACGCGTAGGACATAATCATCTTCTTTTTTGAAGTAACGTCTGTATTATATAAGATAAGATAAGATACTCGAGAACGCATACCCCCCCCCCCCAAAAAAAAAGGCTCCTAAAGAGCTAACAACAGCTTCCATCTACAAGACAGATGGAAATAATGAATTGCGTAAAGAAAGCTTGGATACTGCAAAGTTTTTAGGGTTTACAAAGCAAAGACTTACCGATTATCATGTCGCTTCCTCGGGATACAGCTACCTTCATAGGATACACAATCAACTATTTGAGTCAAATTGAAATGAAACGGATAATCCAATGAAAGAAATAACTGAAAACAATAATCCACAGAATTCACTCAAGAAAATCCGATCGAAGAGGAACATGTCTTCTATTGTATTCAGCCGGCAATGCTCCGTAACCCCACCTACACAGTGGAACAATTAGATTTCTTTCAACACAGTTAAGTCAATAAGTGCACAAGTTTCACACACACACACACACGTCTGCACGTGGCCATTAAATAGGAGACGTACGTTTTACAAAGATTCTACAATGTTTAAAAAGGGTATCTAATAAAATACAGGCGTTACTTCCAAAAAAAAAGATGTTTGCGTCCTACGCATCAATCTAGTCATGCATGTTAATCAATGACTTAAATTCTGCCACGTCATTGGTTTTCCTGACTGACTCGGCAACCCATTCCATGCTCTAATAGCACTAGGGAAGAATGAGTATTAATACAAACGTGTCCTAGGATATGGGACAAGGAATGTCTGTTCATCCCGAGTAGGTCCACTCTTCCATCGCAGTGCTTGTGCAAACTATCCGGGTGCAGAACTTGATGTTAGGACCTTGCTGAATCTTGTATAGCAAGTTATTTTTGATTCGATAGAGGATCTCCTACGAGTCTTTACCAATTTTGATAATCTTCCTTTCTTTCTTTGTGGATCATGCAATCCAAATCAAACAAGATCAGCTTTTTGAAACACTACTCTCAAATGTAGTTCCATAGTTCGTAGAGACAGTTGTAGAAGTTTAATCGTGTCCTGCACAGTCTGCAGCTGACTTCTTGGCACACAATCATTTCTTTCAATATTTGACAACGACTTGGGCTAAAGTAGGCTACTACTCTCTACTGCCTACTTTTTGGGAACAAGCAGCCCTAATCTGTTAACTGCTAAATGGTGTCTTAATCTTCGTCTGTTCGTGAAAAATAGATATCACAAAGTTAGTGGAAAATTTGGGTACAAATCATTTGTAGTAGCAGGGCCGGCATTAGGCAAACTATGCAGCTACCAGGGCCTCCGATAGGTCACAGGTGGGGGCTTGGCAGTGCGAAACTTGTATCCAATTCTCAATTATAGCAGAACACTAGGGCTGTACGTTAACTAACCAAGATGTCTGAACTAGAACTTAAGATTTAGTGATAAATGTTACATACATCTTAGTTTTTAAACGAGTTGTGTTAGAAGACACTTGTTTTTGTTTTTTTTATGAATTGCGTAATTTTATATTTTCCTATTTCATTTGAGGCCATCAAATTCACTTTGTCTAGGGCCTCAAATTACTCAAGGCCGACCCTGGTAGTAGCTACAGATACCAAGAGAACTTCAAGGAGGTTAGTAGGTACCATCGCGAATCACTTCCTTTGTCCTCGAGTTGCGCTACAGTTACCTCCCTCCAATGACTTGTGTGCTAGGTAAAGCAAGTAGGCCTATTCCAATTTAGGTCCCATAAAACCATTTCCACCAATCTTTTCAGGGGGGCTAGTGTATTGCATTGTACAGAAGGCTGTCAAGAGCGTGGGTGTGTAAGATGTGAGATTGTGTGTGTGTGTGTGTGTGTTTGTTTTGTTGGTTGGTGTGTGAATTGTTTTTATCACGGGATTTTCAAGGGGGGACAATAAGGTTTCTAGCGGTCAGTCGAGCAGATGGAGAGCTGACCTGGTCTGAGTAGGGTGCTTGTGTTTTGTTTACCAGTTTTATGCCTAGCGTTAGGAGATGTTATAACTTATATTTCTATTCATTGTTATGTATGAGAACTGACTATTTGTGGGTTATTATGTATGGCATTGATAGCCTTTTGTTCAATGAATCTAGTCTAAGCGCCCTGTAGTATGTCAGTTGGGCACATTTTAGTATGTCAGTTATTGATGATTGCGCATTCAATATTATATGTGTACTTGCTGTTGACTGTAAATAAATATTAATTTTATACTCCTTCGTTGAGTGATACTTTGTAATATTTACACGTTAAGGTCTGCATGTGAGAATCATACCCTAGATCATCGAGCCATATGTATGTAGTAAAGAACTCAACCCCAGAGTTCCCTTACAAAGGCTTTAACGTAAATAGCTACATTTGACTTCCAGTGAAGAGAATTTGTTTGTTCCTGTTTACTATCAGGGTGTAATCTTATTGTCCAATATCCGCTTTGTATCTAAGGTTGAAATGATGGGAAGCTCCGAACGAATGTCTAATGTGTCATCGATACTTGGACTAGGATTTGTGTCACGTTATCACGTAGAGAGACAGCATTTGACTAAAGCACAACAATGGGCGAGTAACCTACCACTCTTTAATGCCCTCTTTGTTTCACTCTGTTGGCTGCTTCTTGTTCCTTTGCTTACCGTGCTATTTGTATTGGTCTAACATTGCCTGCATCTTTCCTATCTAATGGACCTCATTCACCAATCGTAAACAAACAACATTTAGTCACGTGATCTTATTGATAAAACAACGGAAAAAACTGTCACCTGACAACCATCATGGATTAAACATTAGATCGTAAATTATATAGAAGAGATAGAGAACCACGGTGCTAAATGTTGTTTGATTACGATTGGTGAATGAGGTCCATTTACACAAGTGATGTCATGTACTCAACACAATATGCTGGAGCTACTTTACACAAGTGATGTCATGTACTCAACACAATATGCTGGAGCTACTTTACACAAGTGATATCATGTACTCAACACAATAAGTTGTAGTTACGTACACAGCTGATGTCATGTACTAATCAGAATCTATTAACTTAAAATAGACCAAAGATCTTTTAGTCAGCGAAGCAATAAAAAACACTTAAGCCACTTAGTCAAAATACTTTTAATGACTACTCAATAACACTAAAATAAAATTGTTCCTTCTGCAAAATGTTAGTTCACAAAACCAAATGTTTTTGTTTTCTTCAAGTTTATTTATTCCACCATAGACTAGAAATACAGATCAAAATATCACTAGTTCAAAATAAAAAGTAAATTGTATCAAATTTAAAAACAACATTCAATGTTGATGCAAGAGAAAATAAAATACATCTGATAAAAATCTGCTTAGCAACCAAATAGAAAATGTCAAACTTTGAAAAATTTGGCAGTCTAGGACTAAGTCTGTAATACAAAAGAAAAACATGTAGAACCACTAAACCAATTGTCTCCAAACAAGATAGAGCTACTAGTAGCCATTGCACTTTGTGTGCTTTGTCTAGATAGAGTATCAAACAAAATAAAAAGATAACTAAACTGAATGATAGTTGAAAGTAGGCATAGATAGCTCAGAACTGAATGAAAGTAGGCATAGATAGCTCTGAGCTGAATGAAAGTAGGCATAGATAGCTCTGAACTGAATGGAAGTAGGCACAGATAACTCTGAACTGAATGAAAGTAGGCATAGATAGCTCTGAACTGAATGAAAGTAGGCATAGATAGCTCTGAACTGAATGAAAGTATGCACAGATAACTCTGAACTGAATGAAAGTAGGCTTAGATAACTCTGAACTGAATGAAAGTAGGCACAGACGTACTAGAATGGTTTGTTCAAAAGTTGTTTTAATATCAATGCAATATGAACCACAAAGCTGAAACACATCAAGACTTATCTCCACACTCCATTGATAGTTGCATTGAAACAGAAGTATGAGTCCAACTAAGATGTAAACAAATTCTAAAGAAATAACAAGCGAATCAGGTGATTGACTTTAGGAAACATTTGAAGACCTCAAGTAGAGTGTCTTTGGATGACACAATAAAGTGGCACACAAGTCTTAACAAATTCTGTCTCAATGATTTCACAGTGTGAGTACATGAATGGAAGCAGAGAGTGTATGTTGGTGTTTTTATTTTACATTTTGATATATAGTTACAGAACACATTGGGTTCCAACAATTCCTCACTAGTTCTGATGTCACAAAAATTCCATTAATTTCAATTTCATTGTTCTCACATCCACATATACAAATGTATAAATAAACACATTTAGATTCATTTCATGTTTTGTTCATTTTAACATTTGAATCTCACAAAATTAAATTTAAGTTAAAAAAAACAAAAAAAACCTCTGACATTGAGTTATACAAAAGAGTTCTAGTTGTTCATTATAACATTTGAATGTAAATTGAAAAATAACAACCTAGATATTGAGGTATAAATGAGTTTTGATAGCTTTGTAAATCTACTATGTGAAAGTAGTCTCTCATCAAGTGGGTCAAAGCTTTGGCTGTTTTACATCTAGTCATTGACATCTTCCAAGTGATCAATTTAATTAGAGAGTCATCACATTGTTGTTTTTTTTAAAACAAATTTGATAATTGAATGAAAAGAATGATCTCTTTTGTACCTCTAAGTATGGAACAAGACAAAGTGTCAGCTGATATACAACACAACTATATGTCAGCTGATACACAATGCAAGTATATGTGTAAAAATACTTCTTTAGATTTCCCATTATTAAGTCTGAAGTAGGACACCAGTTTAGGCACAGTGGTCATTTTGGCTCAAGAAGTTCTGACCATAAGTTTAAAAAACTACAAAGATTTTAGAATAAAAACCAAAATGGCTTGCACAAAAATGACTGGTGTTGAGCTTTGCTTTTCCTTTTTGCTCTTTAGGAATGTGTTTCAAAATGTAGTTTGAAGAGAACTAGATCATTTGGGGGAAAGATGGTGTCTATGTGTACAGATGTGGAAACAAAAAGAAATGGAGATAGATGTCCTGAAAATAAATCTCAATCTAGATTGGTTTAGTGTTTTAGGAAAGTCTAAGAATGGGAAACTACCAACAAACATTTAGAAAACCTAATGATTGGGTAGATGTCTATACATTAGGTAACATTACATTCCAGTGCAAGGGCTTGATGAAGTCATTATATTACATACTATCAATGTTAAATGCATATATATACATATAACAAACAAGTGACAAAACTACAATATTTACAATGTGTCGGGTACATATGCAACTACTTATATGACATTGGCAGATATACCACTCAACTCTACCATCACAATGTGACACATTCAAAAGAAATATAAAATATGAATTCATTAAATATTAATTTAAAGTTTGTACAATTGTAAATATGTATGAAACAGAGTAGACTAGTATTCCTCTATATCGTATAGATACTCGGGGCTCATTAAAAGGCTTCCTAATCATCAAAACTAGACTTGAACTTTATGTTAATTAAGAGATTACAAGTGAATTGCAACTAGAATGCTTATAAATAGTTTAAAGTCTATGTTCACATTCTAGTGTACATCATTCTAAACTTCTATTTCATCAAAATATTTTCAATCAAAACAAAAATTGTGAAAAAAACTAAATGCCTAATCTTGTTATTTGTTTTTTTTTTAATAACAAAAAAAAAAAAAAGTTCTTTTTTATGATTAAAAAAAAACCTTTTCAGTATACCAGTAGCATAGCTATTCAAAGGTTTCTTAGACAGCATTGTAATAGTAACCATGGATGAATGAGGATAAACAAAATTTCACAATTATATTTTTTCCATCTTGGTCAAAATTTATGTACCACTCTGCCCAAATCTACAATTTATGTGATATTAAAAAGATTACAGACTGATTTCTGAAATGAATTCAACAAAAAGTTTGGGGACTTTGGTTCAAAGTTTGTGGACCTCACACTACACATCCTCTAATGTTGTTAGAAACTCTTGCTGTACAAACAATGCAGTGAACTAAACATGCCAGGATGGACTACAACAAGCTAGTTATGTTTGCAATACATTTATTAATTTTGTGATCATTGCTGCCTCTTAAACTGTGGTCCCTTACTAAAGAAGTGTGAAGCAGAAGAGCCCATTAAGAGCAACAGAATGTTGTGTCATTCATAGGACTAGTTCAAGTTTTCAAGAAGATAGAACTTTAAAATGATATACTTTTACAATTATCCATTAAAACACAAACAGACACACACAATTATGTCCAGGAGCATGTGAAAGTGTTTCTTGGTATTAGATTCCAATGTACAGAGAGTTATCTTTCTTGAAAATAAAAAATCACAATGTCTGAAGAGGACATGTAAATACATCAAGAAATATGTAAATATATAAAACAACTTAAATGTACATATATAAATAACCTTGACAAATGTCTACATTATGCTATTTAGAACACAAATAGTTTCAGTATAAGCAAGACATTATTATAAGCTAAGAAAGAGCCAACAATATAGAACTCCATTTGACTAGAATAGTAAGATACAGACTAAGCAAAAGAAAAGGGGAGAAAACTGCAGTATACAGTTGACTATTATTTAAAGGAGCTAGTTGCAAAGTTGTTGTTTTTTAACTACTAATTCAACCTGAACTTAAAAATGGTTAACAGCAAAAACTTTATCTTATAACAAAAAAGAAAAAAAAAAAAAAGCTGCTACTAAAGGTAAAAATTTGTATGTCCATCATATGACAGGACTTAATTGCTGACAAAGAAATCAGTCTTAATTTGTTTAGCCAGAATTATGTCCAAAAGTTCCCTCAAATGTACCTCATGCTAATCAAAGTTTCACCCTGGCTATGCAACATGTCCCTGGGAATGGAATTAGCAAAACAAATCAACACAACTTTCTACAGCTCAATCAAAAGACAACAAAATACTGATACTGATAACAACATTAAACATCATATAATAATCATAGATTAAGAATAAACCCCACAGTTTTAAGTTTTATAATTATGCTTATAATAAATAAATAAAGTCCCATTTACTATACAGACAAATATCTATAGCACAAACATAGACATTTTAGTTGTATGTAGACATAGAGACTATTGTTTCTCAATTTCATTTCTCCTCAAATGTTTACAATAATGAATTGTCCATGCTAAGTACATATTGTTTTGTTCGTCCTAAGTCCCATATTGTTATGTCCATGCTAAATACATATTGTTATGTCCATGCTAAGTACTATATTGTTATGTCCATGCTAAGTACCATATTGTTATGTCCATGCTAAGTACATATTGTTTTGTTCGTCCTAAGTCCCATATTGTTATGTCCATGCTAAGTACCATATTGTTATGTCCATGCTAAGTACATATTGTTTTGTTCATCCTAAGTCCCATATTGTTATGTCCATGCTAAGTACATATTGTTATGTCCATGCTAAGTACCATATTGTTATGTCCATCCTAAGTCCCATATTGTTATGTCCATCCTAAGTTCCATATTGTTGTGTCCATCCTAAGTCCCATATTGTTATGTCCATGCTAAGTACTATATTGTTATGTCCATGCTAAGTACCATATTGTTATGTCCATGCTAAGTACATATTGTTTTGTTTGTCCTAAGTCCCATATTGTTATGTCCATGCTAAGTACCATATTGTTATGTCCATGCTAAGTACATATTGTTTTGTTCATCCTAAGTCCCATATTGTTATGTCCATGCTAAGTACATATTGTTATGTCCATGCTAAGTACCATATTGTTATGTCCATCCTAAGTCCCATATTGTTATGTCCATCCTAAGTTCCATATTGTTTTGTCCATCCTAAGTCCCATATTGTTATGTCCATGCTAAGTACCATATTGTTAAATTACAAGTTATTGAAAGCAATAAACTGCCTTCAGGTCACAAAGTTCAACTGTGGCGCCCATCTCAGAAACATTGCAAAGAAACTTCCATGAACAGTGAGACTTGTATCTAAGTTGGCTTGATTGTTTCTGATGTTGTGTGCTGGTTCTCTATTCAGCAAGTTATAGTTTGAAGTAAATCAATGTGGTTTTACAAATAATTCTTTAGAAAGTTCTAGAAGAAAATCTAACAACAACACTGTGTGTTTCAAACAGCTGCAGTCAATGTGTGAGAACTGGCTTTTGTTTTTCTTCTAATAAGTCTGAAGGAAATACAACAAAAAAAAAACAAAAGATCACACACTAAATATTCCAGAATTTTTATTTCTTAAAAAATGACAAAATATATCAAAGGATTTTGAATAACTAAGTTTTATTTACTTGTTGAGCAAAATAATCATTAGATTATGAGAAATTAGAAATGAAAGAACTGTAATTGATATGTTCTAAATATAACTAACTTATAACCCATGTAACCAGCATACTCTCCACGAATGATAACAAACCTAAAAATGAAAGAATTAGATGAAGCCTTTATGGACCAAATCAAGACCCAGGCCCCAACAAAATCTCAAACATGCTACTTTCATGAAAGTTAGAAATCAGGGAGAGACCCAAAAAGCTGGAAGAAGGCCATCATTATCCCCATACTAAAGCATGGCAAACAAAGAAACAAACTAGACAGCTACCGCCCAATTAGCCTCACCAGCTGTAC